GAGGTGGTTGCTTTGGTGAGTTTTTTTGTGTAAGCATGTATCTAGTGGTAGGGGTGGGGGGGGGGGGGGGGGGGGGGGGGGGGGGGGGGGGGGGGGGGGGGGGGGGGGGGGGGGCTCAGCCCCCTCTGAGGGACCTTTGAGCCCCGGTTGGCAAATAAAATACATGGTTTAAAAATTTTCCTGGGGGGGGGGGGGGGGGGCTCAGCCCACCCCTGGCTCCGCCACTATCTCAAAATATATGTCTCTGAAATAAAAAAATGTTTGTGCGATATCTGCGTGTTTCATTTATACATATTTAGATTTACGTAATCATATGAAATCTAATAAAATATTTTCATGAATTTTTAATGTATTCATTGTTTAGATGAAACTTTAATTCATATCTTGAAAGACCAAATTTCATCACTTGTTATCGACAGTAGTACAAATGAAATCCAACGTTTACCAGCAGATAATAATACAACTATGTTTACGTATATATTTACTACGTTTACTAATTTACAATTTTTAAATTTTGGTGCATCGCTATTGTATCATCAACGATTATCATTTTGCACTTCACCTCTAACTATTATCTCTACAAATCTATTAAAATTACATGTCTATTTGGCGGATTTTAGTGATTGTCTTTATTTACTTGATGGTCGTTTCAATCAACTTCATACGCTTTCTGCTAATATTTTTTTCATTGCCTCTTCAAGTCTAACAATCAATAATACGGTAGATTATTTTTTTTAAAATATCTAATTTAGTTGAATTAATAATATTATTTTTCTTTTCTAGAAAAAACTACCTACTTTAAAATGCTTTTCGCTGCAGTGTGATATTAAAACATGTGCTTATGATGAATTAATTTTACCACTTCTACATCGAATGCTGTATTTAGAAAAACTTAATTTGTGTCTGATAATCAGTGAAAGAAAAACATTTTTTGATGGTAATGATTTGAAGATAAATATTATTAATCATATGTCACGATTAAACAAATTCACGTTTAATCTTCACTCATCAAGTTGTTTTTATGATCAAATTAATTTACCATCGAATGAAGATATTCAAAAGACATTTAGAGATTTCAACAACAAAATTGTCTATTGTGTTGATTATTTTCCAAAGGCAAATTATGGTCAATGTCATATTTATTCATATCCATATAAACTGAACTATTACGATAATATAACAAATAATTTTCCAGGTGGAATATTTACATGTGTTCGTAAAGTGTCACTATTTGACGAACATCCTTTTGAACATGAATTCTTTCTTCGAATTGCTCAATCATTTCCATTGATGGAAGAGTTAACTGTAAATAATCAAAAACGACAAATTAATAAACGATTTAGAAAATCAAAGAATGAAAATCAAGATTTACCAATCATTAAATATCATTATCTTAAAAAGCTTAATCTTACTAATAATTGCAAAGATTATTATGAACAGTTCTTACTCGATACCAAAACGTGTTTACCAGTTGGCGTTAGTATTGATATGAATTATGAACTAGTGAAAAAAGTGACACGCAATTTTCGAAGAAACACAACACGAAGTAATTGTGCGAAGCTGAAATACGTATGGTTACATCGAAAACTAGAGTTTCCTGGATATTCAAACAACTTTGTTCCTAGAAAAATACCACTTTCTGATCATGTAAAAGACTATTTTCCTCATGCGATAGTAGACTGATTATTAACAATTTCTTATTTAAATAAAACATGAACAAAAGCAGATTGGTTTAAATAGAATCAAAGCATTGAAATAGAGATAGAAGTCATTAAGAATAATGGTTGAAAATAAGTATTGCATGGTACATTGTTACAAATGAAAATATGCTATCTGTCTCTGTATACACTTCAGAAAAAAATAAAATAAAATTACAATTAAAAAGCAAATATGTCATAACAAATAGTATAGAAAGCATTTTTTGTGAAAATAATATTAACAATGGATCAAGCAACTGCAATCTATTTTAGAAATAAATAGTTTGTACAATTAAAGTTTGATCAAATCAAAAAAGTTTTGGTATAGAAGTGCTTATTATCGGAGCTAACAGAGACGAATCTGTTTAAATAACACTCATGAATTATGAGTACAAAATGAAAATTACAATGTCTGACATTTCTTTCTGACGCACTGATACATTACAGCCAACATTATCGTTCTATTAGCGAGAGCCGGTGCGTACTGCACGGCTGTTTTCTCCTTTACTGTATGACCTAAGACGTTTAACTTTTCATTCAGGAACAGACATACAAGCACATATTATTATGTATATAGATAAATAGCCCTACGGCCTCATACTCTTATATCGTACATATTTTTACAGTTCATCTCATGTAAAAAAAATAATCAAATAATCGATTATAAATCGATTATAATCATACGATTTTAATCAATAATTTAAGCAGTAATAATCATAGCAAAATCAGATTTTAATCGATTGTTCAAATTATTCTGATTATAATCGATTTAGAATATTTTTAAAAATCGATTATAATCAGAATAATTGAAATAATCGATTAAAATCTGATTTTTCTATGATTATTACTGCTTAAATTATTGATTAAAATCGTATGATTAAAATCGATTTTTAATCGTTTACGTGATTTTTTGAACAAAATTTTTTTACATGGGATGTAGCCATCGGCCTTGTAGTCTTGTATTCCTTGTAGCTATGGTAGCCTTATTGCCTTACAACTGATTGCTGTAGTTTCTTGAAAACCTGTGGCAACCCCCATATTATAGCTCTTCGTGTTCTATAGATATACCATATATAATAGCCGTTGAGGACATAGAGATACCACGTATAATAACTCTTGAGAACCTATGGATACTTTATATAATAGCCCTTGAGGACTTATATGTGCCCCATATAATAGCTTTTAAGTACCTATAGATACCCTCTTATAATAACTATTGAGGACCTATGGGTACCTCCATATGATAGCTATTGAGGTCCTATAGATACGCCCATATAATAGCCGTTGAGGATCTTCCCCTTATAGTCTTATTTGACCTTTAACCTTTGAACCGGCAGAGACACATACACACACACAGACAGACACTGAACATTATATATATAGATTGCAAAATATATTTCTGCAAAAGATCGAACTTCAAAACGTCTCTAGTGTTAGTGGAAGAATATGTATTGACATATCGTCAAAGTGCCTAAAGTCTAATGTAACCCTCTTATTATAATGAGTAAGAGTTCGAGTAATGCTATTCTTTTAGTTTGTCATATGACCATCCATAGGACGACATCATTTTCTTGACATAACTATCTAATTTTATGATAATGTGTTCTATCGGTTTATGTTTCTCGAATTTAGTTCTAATTATTTATGTTGAAAGTACTTGCGAAAATAAAGATGCTCAGTATATTTAAGTCAATGAGCTTTCTGTAGCTGTATGGACAAAGAGAAATGATGACTGAATACATAGAGGTAACGACACGTGTATCATACAGTGTTCAATACTATCATGAGTAACACAAATACAAGACATTTTATTGTTATATGATCTGTAAATAATAAGTTTTGTATTATCTTGTTCAATTTATTTCTTTATTAATATGAAAAGATATTAAAACAAATGTTGAAAAATATTCTCAACTTGTCATATAAAAGGATGTGAGACAATGTCATCTTCTTGACTTCTACATCGAATAGAAGATGCAGAAATATGATTGAAATTCGAGTAAATAGAAAATCGACTGTAATTTAAAATAAAAAAAATTATTGCAAAAAAGTTCGTCAAAAAATATGACAAAGATTAATGGAATACCTTCCTTGAGTTTGTGTATTTCTAATATGACAATATTATTCATAATAATGATTTTGTTTCAATAAATATTTTCAGTTTTTATTTTATTTTGCAAAGATTTTTGTAATTTTTGAGAAATAAAGATTTAACACGTTGGCTAGCGCTTCAACACTTAATATAACAACACAAATAACTGGTATTATTGAACGTGTATTAGCAAAAAACATTATCATTAATGATGGAATAATTTAAAAAATAATCCACATGATTGAAACAGATCCACCAACAATTAAAAAAACGACTTATACGAGGTTCAATTAGACCATATAATAGACCACAATAACCAACACCTATAACAAGCATACTGATTGGAATAGATAGCATTAATATAAGGATTACTACACCGGATATTGATGCTGCTGCAGCTTCAGCAATAACATAACGAACCCATAGATCAGATGGCTTAATGTCAGAAGAACGAAGTGAACGATTAAATGGATTTGTTGAAATCGAATTTAAAGTAATGGTTGTTCCATTTTATTCATTATTGATCGTAATGATGTATAAAATAACTCGATCTCTCTCTGTACTTTTTTTTCAAAGTGAAAGAACGACAAAGAATGACAATACTTGAAAAGAGAATCTAAAAAATATTCTAGCATATGCTCACATGAACTTATAATACCTTTCTTTACCTAGGGCATAGGACATGAGTCAAGAGACCTAACAATTTCTCTTCAAGTTTTTATGTTTTTTTCCTTTTCTGGTAGTTTTTGTTATTTCCTTTGTCTTATATTTCCGTAGATTTATTTATTTGAGCAAATACATCGTTGAAAACTCACAAAGTGAAAGAACGAGAAAAAAAAGAAAATATAGATCAATTCAAGTAATATATACTTTTCATTCAAAAAGACCAAGATCGAACACGATTGAATAGTTAAAAAAAAGTTCTATTAATGTAAGAGAATGCAATAATAGCATATGTCATTTGTGCTTTATAACGAATAGTTTTTTTTCTTCATCATACAGAATATATCTGGTTAAGGTCATTATTAAGATTTATTCACCTTTATATTGAAGTGTGCTAGAGCTACTGTACATCTTTTGTTGATATAAGACACTATATTTACGACGAGTTGAAGAAATGAAATTTCGATAGTATAACTAATTTAAAATAATAAATTAAATTATCAAACTTTTTATTTGAGGCTTAAATGAGTCCTTATATAATATCTTTTGGTCAAAAAGCTATTCAGATCATTGACATAGAGGCAATCATTAATTGATCTGGATCATCGAAAAAGAACGTAACAAAAAGAATATAAATTTAACATTTCGAATTTTATATTGTTATCTTTAAATTTTTTGAATCTCGAATCAAGGCATAATAACGATGACATCTCACTAGGGTGTGGGTGTGGGTGTGGGTGTGGGTGTGGGTGTGGGTGTGGGTGTGGGTGTGGGTATATGTCTCCCTTTCTGCAGCATCCACACCCACACACCCACCCACACCCACACCCACACCCACACACCCACCCACACCCACACCCACACCCACACCCATGTTTACTGAACTGACATACAGTGAATCATGATTTTAACAATAAATCAAAGAGAAAAAGACATGTTACACGAAAATCAGCATGATATGTTCAAGATAATAGTAGAAGTAGCTAATACTCTAGCTATTGACCAACACCAAGTAAACTCTCATAGTTGCCCAGTCAAGTTTTTTGTATTATAAGACTGAGCCAGAGTTGAAAATTCGGACTCATTTAATTTTCTTGCATAAAACGTAAAATCATCAATTTCTCCATACATCTTTGTATAATTAAATATTGGAAGTCTTGCAAAGCATTTCATCTGTTCAAAATTATCAGGCTTGTTCTGTGTAGAGTCATCCAAGTATGCGCCACCAATAGTTACAGAAAATCGTGGATCACCAAATATGATCGATCCATAGCGTTGTTTCGTGTCTTTATAAATCAGCTTGCCATTTTCATAAAATAAATATGTGTCTGGGCTCTCAAATGC